ATATCGAATCAATATTATTCGATGGTATCAGGTAAAGCCACACAAGGAAAGAAATGGAACTTTGGGGCACAGAAGAAAAATGTTCTGAATGCTATGGGGGGTAGCTGATGTTAATCATTCCGTGTGAAGAACAGATACTGTTAGTTATGCCAAGCAGAATATGATGATACTTAATATGGAACTTTGAAAAGAAACTTTGTACTCTTTAGAATGCTAGGATATCAGACTTAGAGCTTAGACTATATTGGTTTCTAGCAAAGACTATCTGTATAATAGCTTTGGAAACCCTCAACAGCTGAGGAAATGAGAAAGCACTGCCCCGAAGACCCATAGGAAGGAAAATGAAGAGCTGTATGTAGGAAGGACCTTCGTTTCATCTTCAACATTATTTTCTCAATTTTCGTTGAGTGTTGCATTTGATAAATATTTTCAGCAATCGTGTTTTATATGGGGAGCTTTCTATCTTACATGCACAGTCCTTTGAAGAAAATGTGTTGAACCCAAGAATTATAAATAAAGATGGAGAAGTAGGAGTAGGAATACGCCAAAAATAATCCAGTCGGATTACCTTCATAGACAAGACTTCACTGGCATTACCACCTGTATTAGGAGTTTCTCTTGGGTGGTTTTATAATGCCCTGTGTATATTTTATATTCTCTTTTTACTATAAAAACTGTTTTTGTGTTTGTGCCTCCCCTCTGAGTAAGCACCTTGTTACACTCAACACGGGGTCAAAGTCTGGCCTAGAGACAGCACTCAACAATTGTTTGAAATCACTACATAAATGATAAAAAACTAAATGAATAAAACTCATTCTTAAAAATAATATTTGATACTTATTTTGTGTAAATCAGTTACACACATTGTTAACTCAGAGCAGATTATATATTATTCATATCTATTCTTTTATAGATCAGCACAAGAAATACAGTTTAGATACATGGTGGGTAGGCATTTCCTGTTGATATGTACCAAGCAGCACATGTTCATTTTTTCATCAAATTATATTCCACAGTTTGTTAAGATTGTGGATATAGAATTATAGGTTCTGAGCTATAGGTTCAAGCTCAGTTGGCTTTAGCTCTGTGGTTTCTACATTCCAAGCTCTCTGCTAAAAACGTGTGTGATATTTATACCAAGGGAAGCCATGGTAATGAACCATCCAGGATTGGGGTTCATGAGGAGCCATAGAGCATTCTGAAAAGATCCCGGGCTCTGAAATCCAGAAGCTATAACTTTCACATTCAGTTCTGCCAGTTGCTAGTTTTATGAAATGGAGGAAGTAAATATCTTAACCTCTCCCAGTTTCTTTCCCATCTAGGGTGGGCAGTGTTTAAAAATCTTTTGTAAATTTTGACAAATGCAATTATTCAAGAAAAGACCACAAGACATAAATTTGTGAAAAATAAAGGGCAAATAAATATATAAATAAATAAAATAATACCCCAAAGAGCAGTAGCTAATTTTTATGCCTCATCTAGACTCACCTAGACTCCAGCAATAGTTCCTTTATGCCTGTCTGTCTCAGTGTGCCACAAACATATTTTTTTCCAGTTCTGTAAATACATTGCAATCTTCCTACCTCATGACTTTCATACATGTTATTATCGTCCTGTAAAAGCACCTTCCACAAACACACATGCACACACACAGACATCAATGCAAACATACATAAACACTTTTCTATATGTTAGGTTCTTCTTCACGTTCTTCAGAGAAAATGTCCCTGACCACTTCTTAAAGGAAGTCTCCTTTATTATTATCATTATATAACTACCTACCTCTGGGTGGCTCACTTGGTTGAGCATCTGACTCTTGATTTTGGCTCAGGTCTTGATCTCACAATTCCTAGGATTGAGCCCTGTGCCTGGCTCTGTGCTCTCAGCATGGAGCCTGCTTGGGATTCTCTCCCTCCTTCTCTCTCTGCTCCTTTCTTGCTCTCTCTCCTTCTCTCTCTCTCTCTGTCTCTCAAAATGAATGAATGAATGAATGAATAAATAAATAAATAAATAAATAAATAAATAAATAAATAAATAAATAAATAAAATAGCGATACCTGTATTTTCATAGCATTTCAGACAATTTATGTGTATATACTTATTTATTTTGGTTTGGTCGGTGTCTGATTCTCAACTAGAATACAAGTCCCATGAAGGCAGAAATTCTAAGTCTACCTTGGTCACCAGTGTATACCGAGGGCCAACAGAGTGCCTGCAGAGAGCAAAGGCCCATTTCATATCTGTGAATGACTAGGTGCATACTGGAATGAATGAAATGACAGAACACACTGGCAGCATCAGTGAGCATAATTAAGTTGGTCTCACTCCATACCAGTTTATGAAGTAATGTCTACTAAGTCAATAGTCATCTTTCATCTAAAGAACTGTTGAAACTTTCCCTCGTGTTTGAATATGGTAAGAAATGCAGAAAGTTGTTGCTTTTTGAAGCTAGATGCTGGGGTCAGTGGATTAAAGTGAATGGTATTTTATACATTCCCACCCAGGCCATTTCTCGGGGGCCCAGGGGACATGTCTCTCTCAGTTCAACATCCTTACCATCAACTGTTACAGTGTTTCATCTATGCACCTTCTCTCTTCCCCATTCCTTTCACAAATATTTATTCTTTTACTCATATGTTCTGCTAGAGTAAAAGATTATTCTCAACCAGGCCCCAGAAACTGAAACAGTGTCCTACATTGGTGTTTCTTAAAAAAATATATCAGATCACATTACAAAAGACTAATAGACATAAAAACTTACTAGGACAGGTTTGCCCTATGTTATTCCTTGGATGTAGTGTAAAAAACACTGGTTGGTCCTTAAGAAGAATTGTCTAGTGTTTTTGCCGGATTTCACTATGCTTTCTGTGGACCTTGGGGAATTCCTGTTCCAGAGAATCTTTTCTCTTCTCTTGTCTTCTCTTGTCTTCTCTACTCTCCTCTCCTTTCCTCCCTTCCCTTTTCTTTTCTTTTAACTTTTGAGAGAGAGAGAAAGAAAGATAGGGCATGAGCGGGGGAGGGGCACAGGGAGACAGAGAATCCCAAGCAGGCTGCACACTCAGCATGCAGCCCAACAGCGGATTCCATCCCATAACCCTGGGATCATGACCTGAGCTGAGACCAAGTCTGCCGCTCAACTGACTGACCCACCTAGGCAGCCCTTTAAGAGGGTATTTTCTCTTCATGTCATGACAAGGTCCCAGAAAATCAAGAGACAGGGTGTTCTGTTTCCAGTCAATTCACAGTTCTTCCTTGTGTCCCCTTCAAGGTCGCATTCCATTTGCACACTGAGACTAAATGTGAAAACAGATACATATTTTTATAATACTGAAAGATAAAATCCCCACACCCAGGTTTATCTGAATTTCATCTGTTCAACCATGTCTTATTTCTGGAGAACCTCTGTAAAAATTGCCTTGTTATTTCTATCTCAGTTTTCTCATTTGTCTCAACAACAGTACATACTGGTACCTCTACGTGTCTTTATTTGAATCCATTCTTTGAAGAGCTACTTAGAAATTTGGAGTTTATTTGTGAACTGACTACAAAATTGAGTAGCTAAACAATTATTGGCCTGAGAAATTTCAGGGGAATTTAGTTCAATTTGCTTGTATGTTAAATATGATAATTGCTGAAAATGTACCTTTCCTTTTCTTCACCCCTTGCCCACACCTATTATGACCCAGATTTTACTCAGTCTCAAAATTGAATTTAAGATGAGTAACATTCATTAACTGAACGTTCTGTGTACTAATGCATTTGCATTAGCCTTTTCACTTTTCAATCACTACATTAGAAATTCACATTAATACAGAGATTCAGCATATGGGCAGGTGAATTGGGAGGCTGGTAGAAACAGATGTGCTTATAGCTATGTTGTTTATGTGTTTTAACCTCTACTGGAATGGACTTTGCTAAATGTTCTTTACATTTCAATGTTGTGAATTTGGGGGTGAATAGATGATGTTCAGGAGTTTTGAACTAATTTGTAGACACAACTCGATGTGGTTTTAGCTTGGAATATGAACACCTTTCTCCTCATTTATCTGTGTGACATAAGTTCATATTGCTTTTCCTTTCTAAGTCTCAATTCCCCATCACCAAAGAAATAACAATACCTGGGGGTGCCTGGGTGGCTCAGTTAGTTAGGCATCTGAACGTATCTCCACTCAGGTCTTGAGCTCATGGTTTGTGAGTTCAAGCACTGCATTGGGCTTTGTGCTGGTGGCATGGAGCCTGCTTCAGATTCTCTCTCTTCCTCCGTCTGTCCCCTCTCCCCCCCCAGGTCTCTCTGTCTGTCTGTCTCTCTCTCTCTCTCAAAATAAATAAATAAACTTAAAAAAAGAAATAATAATACCTGATCTGTAAGATTATTAGAAAATCAAATGTAGTATGTATATGTTTAAGGGAGAATAGGGTATAAAAAGAAGGGCTCAGTTTAGTAAATAGTAATTTGAATGTTTATGTACTAGGTTTATTTACTTGCTACTTGGAAATTTAAATGGTTAGGTTTGTTTGTGTGTTTTTTTGTTTTACAGAAGCTTTAAAAAATGATAAAAGGTCAGGGGCACCTGGGTGGCCCAGTCGGTTAAGCATCTGACTTCGGCTCAGGTCATGATCTCATGGTTTCTGGGTTCAAGCCCTGCAGCAGTCTCTGTGCTGACAGTCAGAGCCTGGAGCCTGCTTCGGATCCTGTGTCTCCTCTCTCTGCCCATCTCCTTGCACTCTGTCTCTGTCTCTCTAAAATAAATAAACTTAAGAAAAATTAAATAAAAACATGATAAAAGGTCAGCTGAAATCTGTTTATTTCTCAGAACTGTTTGACAAATTTCTCACTTTCCCTGACAAAATATAAACAAAATGAACTCAATTAGTTCTAGTCCCTACGTGGTGCTTTTCAAGAGTACTTTCCTGAAACCATCATCGCAAGAATTAAAATGTATTTTTTGCCTTTTGCTGATTATTTCTCACTTCTAAAACTCACCATTTTGAATTTGCAGGTATGAATATAAGCAAGAGTGAGATAACAAAAGAAACTTCGTTAAAACCGTCCCGGAGATCCCTGCCTTGCCTTGCCCAGAGCTATGCCTACTCAAAGAGTTTGAGCCAATCCACCTCTCTCTTCCAGTCAACGGAGAGTGAATCTCAGGCTCCCACTTCTGTGACCTTAATCTCCGCTGACAAAGCAGAGCAAGGTGAGCACCTATCCTGTTCTTTTGTTCAACTTGCAGAGTAAGTGTTTTCAAGCCATTCCTTCTTTCCTTCATCCATTCTACTAGTAATTATTAGAGCTCTTTTGCAAGAAGGCTGGCATAGAAACAACAGTACACTAGTTAATGGGAGGCCAGTGGTTGGCCAGATGTGTTTTTGCTTCTTCCTTGCCTTGAAAGTAGCCAACCGTATGGGAACCTGGACCTAATATTTTCTGTTTGCAGGAGCAGACAGGCCATCTACCTGAATTGCTAGGTCATTATCATTTCTGGTGAGAATTTATAACCAGTAACTGAGTAGAATATGTCAGCAATAATAAAATCAGTTTTCTAAAAAGAAAGACTAAAAACTTTATATAATATTGACAGTAAAGCAATCAAGATTTGGCTGCGGGAAGATATGGTTGGACAAGTGTTAGCAATCAGATGTTGGCACTGAAGTCATAGATATTAAAAGGGATGAAATACAGGGAAGTGCCAGCTAAATTCCTCATTAATGAGACTCTGTGGCCACCCTGAAATACAGGGAAGTGCCAGCTAAATTCCACATTAATGAGACTCTGTGTCCACCCTGGTCACCCTTCTCCACACATCTGCCAATCTGAGACACCATTATGCTTTTAGACAATTCCTTTTCACAAAAGCCAAGAGTCAAAGTACAACCAAGCCCCCTGTCATTCAGTGGATGAGGTATGTTTTTATTTTCCCATCCCATACTTTTGTCTCATGAGAATGCATTCCTTTGTGATTCCTTGGGGTTATTTCTTCCTCTGGATAACTTGAAAATACCAAGATTCTCTTTTCAATAATATTGTGAAATCACTACCAATTATAAGTAGCTTACATCCATGTCCAATAACTACTTTTCTAGTAGCTAATTACTCAAGAAAATGAAGGTATTAAAATATAATAGAGATATATCTATTATTGAGATATTTCTCAATAATATTTTCAATATTCTCAATATTCAATATTTTCAATATTCTCAATAATTATTGAGAAATATCTCAATAATAGATATAATGTATAGATATATAATATATAGATAATATAATATATCTCTATATTGAGATATCTCTCTTACTGAGTGAAATTTTAATTAACCAATTTCAACTCGTTAACTTAAAAAAGTTTCTTTAGGGGCGATTGGGTGGCGCAGTCGGTTAAGCGTCCGACTTCAGCCAGGTCGCGATCTCACGGTCCGTGAGTTCGAGCCCTGCGTCAGGCTCTGGGCTGATGGCTCGGAGCCTGGAGCCTGTTTCCGATTCTGTGTCTCCCTCTCTCTCTGCCCCTCCCCCGTTCATGCTCTGTCTCTCTCTGTCCCAAAAATAAATAAAAACGTTGAAGAAAAAAAAAGTTTCTTTATGTTTGGCTATCATTTGGACATCAGCCACCATGGTCATTTTTCTAAATGTTAATGTTTCTATTTCCCAAAACAATGAATGTCTTTTTTTTTCTTTTCCCAGTTAATGCTGAGGAGGATAATAAAGACTCTGTGCTCAAATGCTCTTTCGCTGACCTCAGTGACTTTTGCTTGGGTAAGTTGATTTCTAGTATTTCCTACTCCTTTATCCCCTCTCCAAAGGTAAGCTGCCCGCTTCAAATCTAGAACATTATTTTTAAAGAAAAAGATGCATGCTTGGTCTTTAGTATTTGATGGGTGAGTATAACAATCTAAGGTGAAAAAATGAGTAAGCTATTTCAGGTACAGTTTGAAATTCAAGTAGTAGGAGAAGATTCCTAATGAACAATTCTCATAACCCAGAATTTTTTGACACTTTCTTTCAATTCTCTGTGAATAAGCACATTAATACTGTTATTTCTAGATTGTTTCAAATTTCAGCAGTATCTGTTAATCCCCTGTTGTGTCAGATGAAGATTTTGCATAACCTTTCAAATTGTCATAGTTATATTGCCATTTAAAATTTTAGATCTCTCTGCTGATTAAATTTGTAGCTTTAAATAGTATATTTATACCTTTATATCGTGTTCTCTCACATTTTAATGATATCTCTTGTCTCTTGGCAAATAATGCTTTGGCAGTTCCAAGTTGTTATGACCTCTGTGCCACTCTTGAGTATCCCTAGAGTCAAGGTCGAATTTTCCCCTTTCCAGCCCAACATCAAATACTCAAAATCATGCCACATTAAACTTTCTTCTTTGTACCACAAACTTTAGTTAGTTTTATTTTCCTAGATTCTGGGTTTTTTTTTCTTCTTGAGAGGAGAAAATACCTCATCTTCTAAATATTCCCATATGTTCCAGATTCTTATTTTTATATCTTTATCTCATTCTTCTTCTTTAAAAAGTTCTTGGTGTTCACTGGCTTCTCATTGGATTATTGGATTCGGTCCAGTTTCTAATTTCCCACATACTCTTCTTTCTTACTTTTCAATCTCATTTTTTTGAGTATATCTTCAAGCAATTACCTCTGCAGGCTCATGTGAGATGCAAACTTTCTAAGTTACTGTATGTCTGAAGTGACTTCAGTTCACTCTTAAATTTCATTTTATTTTCTTAGTTATAAAGTTCTAGGCTAGGGGCGCCTGGGTGGCGCAGTCGGTTAAGCGTCCGACTTCAGCCAGGTCACGATCTCGCGGTCTGTGAGTTCGAGCCCCGCGTCAGGCTCTGGGCTGATGGCTCAGAGCCTGGAGCCTGTTTCCGATTCTCTGTCTCCCTCTCTCTCTGACCCTCCCCTGTTCATGCTCTGTCTCTCCCTGTCCCAAAAATAAATAAACGTTGAAAAAACAAATTAAAAAAAAAATTAAAAAAAAATAAAGTTCTAGGCTAAAAATCACTTTCCTCAAGGTTCCTGGGTGGCTCAATGGGTCAAGCGATGATTTCATGATCTCACAGATCTGGAAGTCAAGTCCCACAATGAGCTCTTCACTAACAGTGTGGAGCCTGCTTGGGATTCTCTTTACCCACCTCTTAAAATAAATAAATAAGTAAACATTAAAAAATCATTTTCCTCAAAATCTGGAGACTGATTCACTGCCATCTAGCATCCATTGTTACTGCTAAAACCTCAATTGCTGTCTGATTGTTGTTCGTCAGTGATTTTTTTTTCTTCTCTCTGTGCATTTTTACTATCTTTATTTTTGTGTGTTACAAAATTACACAACATAATGTTTTGGTGTGGGTACATGTATGTGTGTGCATTTGTTTTCATCTCATGGTTTTAATTTCTGCCTCTGCCTCAGTTGTGGAAGATTTCCTGCACTTTCCAAATGACTTTTCATTTCTGTGTGTGTGTGTGTGTGTGTGTGTGTGTGTGTGTGTGTGTGTGTGTTGGGGGAAGGGTGAGGTCATATATGTATATTTGATTTCCAAGAGTCTTTTTTGTTTTCAGAATGTAGCTTTTTCAGAGCATCTTATTGTATTTCATGAACACAACATCTCTAATCTCTCTAATTACACTTGTGATTATCTTAAGTTTTCCTTTGATTTTTAAGGCTAAGTCTACTGTGGCTGAGATCCATTTTTCTGACTACTTAAATTAGTCATTCTCTTTTAGGCTGTAGAATTTCCAAGAGTTTCTGGTGATCTTTGTTCATCTGTTTACATTTAAGAATAAAAGAACACTGGCAACTGCTGCAACTTTTTGAAAGTTATTTATCATCATGTTAATGAAGTCTCCAGAGCAAGGGATAGTCATGTACTTGAAAGCTCATTCAACCATCTTGATCTTTGTTTCTTTGCTAACAAGTTGATGATGAACAGCTCTTTAAGGATGAGCCAAAGAATGAAACCTATAGAGCACTTATCTTAGAGACTCAGTACAGTTTTACATTTAAAAATCTATTCCCCCCCAAAAAAAATAGTATCATAAATGAAAAAGAAAACATTTTTCCTCACAGCTTTCTTGATAAGAATTAGGAATGGAAGAAAATTGGATATTCTGGTAATTGTACTATTGAACATTTCATGACATGTTGCTGAGTGGGGGAAAATAGCTGAAATATAAATATAGACTTTCTCTCATTTTAGTTAAAAGCGTATTGGAAAATAGCTAGACAGAAATATACCAATATGCCAGCTAAGAGTGCATGTCTCCATACAGTAAGATTATTTGTGCTTGTTTCTTTCCTCTTGCTGCCTATATTGTCTTGTTTTCTCTAAACAACATAAACAAATATAATATGAATATGTAAAGAAAAAACTCGCATCAGAATTTTTTTGGTAAGTAGAGAAAATTGCTCGTATTTCAGTCAGAATAACACACAATTCTATGGATAGCTTTCAAAACTGAAATTTGAAACTGGTTGATAGTCACCCAGTATTTGGAATAACAGTAATACTGAAAGATTCTATCCTGACCCTCTGTTGGGAGTCAATATAATTTTTATTTATTTTTCCTAGAACAGAGACCATTTTACTTAACCTTCTCTTTTGCCCTTTGCTATTATCATGCAAGATTTATTTAATTTGAGTGAGATTTACATTCAGATCTGTAGCTTGCTGGCCTTGTTACATGAGCAGTACCTTTACACCAGGGCTTTTCTTTTTCATAAACTAAACAGAAAGAAAATAAAGTCAGGACATTACTGACATCACTCTGCTCCAACACGTATTTTACAACCTCAGCGTGAATTTATTTATAACCTTCAGAAAGTTAATCCTAGATTTTCAGTAGTGAGCATATCGGTGGCCTGGCTGCATTGCCTACATCAGTGATTCTCAACTCTGGCTGCACATTCTAGTCAGCTGGGAGCTCCAGAGAATCAGTTTTAATTGGTCTGAAGTGAATTCAGGATCCATAATTTTAACTATACCCCAGATAACTCTTAAAGGTAGCCAGAATGAAGAATTTCTAGCCTGAAACATGTATCCTGATTTCTCTCTAAGGACATCCTTAAGGTACTTTTTCATAATTTTTCAAACAATGAGCTGTGTCATTTATCGTAGCATTTTGAATTACTGCAAATTAGTCATGTTTCTTATAATACTCACTTTTGTGTGTGTGGCATAGAAACGGTGCTGACTTGTTCAGTTTCCTAATTAAAGGAAGACAACCACTAGCAGGTTCATTTCCTATACAACATCAATATCAAAAAGAACTTTTCATAAGAACAAATGCACTCTGTCAGAGTACAAAGGTCTTTCCCAGAGTAATTAATTCTGAAAATGGTGACTATTGTTATTTTCCAATAAGAAGACAAAAACAAGAGCAAAAACCTTGTCCAAAACATCCATACAGATGATAACAGTTTGCAAAGCACCTTTCACTAATAATTCTCCCAAATTAATACTAGTTAATAGCTTAACAATAACTCTGGCCATGCAAACCTTTCCATTCAATTCTATGCATCTTATTTTGATAGGTTGCCATCACACATGTTAACATTGTCACTAAATGCTTAATGTAATTGGGTGTCCTAACTCTGTGTTTCTTTCCTCGTCATTCCAGTGTATCCCAATCAATCTACACACTTGACTTGCGTTCCTGTCTCTCCAGGCATTGTACCCCATAGTCAATATTTTAGCACCCCCAGCGTCAATGTACCATTTACTCCATTTAAAGAAACATCACAGCTTCTAACGGGATTAAAGCATTTGCATACAAGGTATTTGCCTTTACAGTGAAGGTGAGAATGAAGCTCTGGCTGATGGTGGTATCACCAAGCATTCCAGGAATCCATCTGGATGTAACACCTGGCTGGAAAGTACTCTTTTAGAGTCAGCTGCATCTCTAAAACATGAATGATTTTATCGTGTTTCAGAAAAGATCCAGCAAAACGATGTCAAATATACAGAGTGTAATTAAATAAAGCATGAGTATTTTAGCAATACATACTCTCTTTTAAATTCAACAAAGTTACATTTTCTAATTTTGCTTTTAGAGTGCAGACTGCCAGCTTCTGGGTGGGTTAACGCATTTCTAAGTGCCAACAGGCTCTGATACAATTTTTTGGAAACTGACTGATGCATCTAATTAATAGCTGTGTGGTTTTTTTTTTTTAATTTTTTTTTAACGTTTATTTTTGAGACAGAGAGAGACAGAGCATGAATGGGGGAGGGTCAGAGAGAGGGAGACACAGAATCTGAAACAGGCTCCAGGCTCTGAACTGTCAGCACAGAGCCCGATGCGGGGCTCGAACTCACGGAGTGTGAGATCGTGACCTGAGCCGAAGTCGGCCGCTTAACCGACTGAGCCACCCAGGCGCCCCTGTGTGTGTGTTTTTTTTAAGTGAACTACTTTGAATTGCCCCATGAGAGAAGATCAATACTGTGGCAGGGTTAACTGCATGTAGTCACTTCCATTGAGGATGAGTATTTCTCACTGTTCCAAATGATAGCTATGGAGGAAGGAACATTCATGATTCTATTGATTCAGACCTGGACATTTTCACTAAGTTTGCCTAACAGGATTTGTAGTATATATGAATGAAATGCTGCTTTCTCAGCCAGACATTGGCCAAATTCTCATTGTTGTATCCACTAGCTGTGTCACTGTGGCATATTATTAAACAGTCTGAGCCTCAGTAGTCTCATTTGTAAATTGGAATTAATGATCGATACTTTGCATGATTATTGA